AAACGTTTCAGTCTATGAATGTTAGAAAAAAGGAAATTGCCAAAATAATACCTCAAAATGTCTGGGTTCTCCCATACACAGAGTTTTACTCTGCATTAATCTTCTTAAATAAAAGTGAGATTTTGCATGGGCAAAAAAGTTGGCTCTGATGTGGCAGGCAGTCTTGCATGAAACTATAGTATAGGTAAAACCTGTATTACTTTAAAGCACTACTTCTCATATATTTATTATTCACCATGTTCTCACTCATCTTTGAACATCCACACATGCTGTTAATATTTATTCCACAGCGTTTTCACCTGACTTCTTAAGTTTTAGATGTTTCAGCTGAGGCCCTGCTTCCCCCCAGGATGTCCTGAACCTTCAAACCTGAAGTCTGAGTTCCACTTCCACCACCCCATATCTCACCCCGTTATCTCTCACTTCATTACAATACCTTGTTCACTGGCTTCTCCCACACTAACTCTAAGTTCTCTCAGGGCAAGGCCCCTGCATGCCATATGCATAAAACAAGTGTGCATATGTATAAATGAACAAATGTCTGAATCAATGCCTGAACTACCTAGTGCATGAGAATTTCTGATGAGGTTTATACAATCATTTTTTATCCAAGAGGTTTATCCAAACATTTATCATTACCAGTCCTAGTTGTCATCGAATCAATCCAAACCATAGCAATTCCGTGTATATTTCAGAGTATAACTGCATTCCACAGGGTTTTCAACGGCTATGACATTTGGGAGGTAGATCACCATTGCCTTTCTTACAAGGTGCTTCTGAGTGGGTTCAAATTGCCAGCCTTTTGTATAATAACCAAGAGCTTAACCATCTAAATCAGAGGGGACTCAAATCAGGACTATGCCAATTCTTATTTATAGTCTAACACTATTAAAAACATATACAAGGTTATTCTTTTAAATGCTGTATTTCATATCACCTTTCTAATCAATTACATATTATTCCAACAGGCAACACAGTACGTTTGTTGTTGTTAGGTGCTATCAAGTTGGTTCCAACCCATAGTGACCCTATGTAGGGTTTCTGAGGAGCAGCTGGTGAGCCTGAACAGCTGACCCTGCAGTTCAAACCAACTTTGCAGTCCAACACGTTAACCTACAGTGCCACACCAGGACGCCAGCATAAGATCTTATTACTGAAAATTAAATATGCATAGTGGATATATGTAATTCAGCCCCTTGCCCACACTAAAACTTAAAAAAATAATAATAATAAGATTTTGACAGAGATTTCTAAAACAACTTTACAATTACCAAGATTTCGAAACAGAAATAGTCCAATGAATTTATGAAACCTTGGTGACATACTTCAGCACAAAATTAATGGCATGTTGGTAGCAACAAAGAAAGCTTTTTTCTCTTTAAGTTCAAGTAAAAGTGAAGAAATACTTTAGGATAGTTCTTTGAGGACAGTATTACTGTTCAATATAATGGTGAACAAACAACACAAGGTCCTTGCAATCCTATGCCAACATATTAACCCTAAAACACAAGTCAAAGACCTGTATGCACATGGTCATAGCAGCTTTATTTATAACTGACCCAAACTAGGTTTTGGTCACTAATTGGTGAGTGGAAAAAAAATTATGGTTCATGTATCATCAATTTATTTTTGTTAAGTGCCATCACATCAATTCTGACCCATAGCGACCCTGTATAGAGTTTCCAAGGAGCAAATGGTGAGCTTGCACCACCAACCTTGTGATTCAAATGACTTGCAGTCTGGCACATTAACCCACAGTGCCACACCAGGACTCCTTGATGTACTGGACGGCTGACCACTTTTAAATGTTCAGGAATTTTGTGAGCTCGTTTGGATAGCTTAATAGGCAAGTGTTGTTAAGTTCCAACTCACAGTGACCCTGGACAAGGTTTCTCAGGAGCAGTTGGTGAGTCTGAACCACCAACCTTGTGATTCAAACTAACCTTGTTTTATCCTACAGTGGCCACACCAGGGTCATGGCAGGAGTATTTACACTACCAAGCACCCACAGATATGGAATCAGTCAATTCCAACTCACACCACAGTAATTGCCAAATAAGATCTCTGTGTAGCATCATCCTTAAGTGTTCAACTACTAGCCAGGTCAAGCCCACCCAGAGACACCTCGAAAGACAGGCCTGAAAATCTGCTTCTGAAAGATCACAGCCTTGAAACCCCTGTGGAGCAGTTCAACTCTGCACACATGTGGAGCCCGTGATCTACAAATGCTCTACAAATCAGGACTGGGGAGGGGCCGTTATTAAAATATCTACCAGATGAAGATTTATATCACTGGACAAAACACTAATACATTAGAAAAACAGGTGAATCTCTATAACATTCTGCTAAATGCAAGAAGGAAAAAGGCGTAAATATAGGGATATTAATCAGATCAGTGGATGATAAGAATTGAGGGTAAGGAAAAGGGACTGACTATAAAGGGGCAAGAGGAAATTTTCTGAAGAGCTGGAAATGTTCCAGATCTTGATTGTGGGAGTGAATATCTTATTGTATATATCTGTCAAAGCTTTAAATGCATGTAAATTCACCATCAATTTTGCTGTTAAGTGTTGTCAGTTTCAACTCTTAGAGACCCTATATAGGGTTTCTGAGGAGGAGCAGCTGGTTAATCTGATTTAAAAAAATTTAAGCCTAATTTATCTCTAAATTTTTTTATGGATGATAAATGCAGCATACATACAAAGGGGGGAACTGAAACTTATCAGAAGAGATATCAGGAAGCCAAAATTTGACTCAACACAGAAGTGAATTTGTAAATCTCAGGAAGTAGTATACTCAGAGACTAGAGTATCCTGCCCAAAAGGCTGCAAAAATAATCCTACTTTGGGTGGGATTTCAGACTAGTTTCATTAAGACAGCTTAGTATCATAAACTTCTTTCCTACTAGAAATTCATGGCTTGAAAAATCTCATGATAATATGCTATAATTTCTGATATACTTTTCAACACTAACTTAAAACTAAAATATCAATAACTAATTTTAACATCAATTAAATGCAATTATTGAATCATAGGCACATGTAGTGGCCTGCTTTAACAATACCAGCTTCTAACTTCCAACAGTTTTGGATTCAAATGCTGACCCACCAGCGGTTTTATGACTGTGAGCATGCCTCTCTAAATTTTCCCATCTATGAAATGGGATTCATAGTTTTCTGGTATCTTAATGAGAGTGCATGAAAAAGACTGCCATTTGGTAAATTCTCAATAGCAAACATTTCGCAGACACTCTTAAGTGCCATTGAGTTGGAGTGGTTGGTGGGTTTGAACTGCCAGCCTTTTGGCTAGTAGTCCAGGGCTTATTCTACAGCATCACACCAGGACTCCTTCTTAGACATAAGCCATACATTATCGAATCTGAATTTCTACGAATTTTAACTTTCAAATATAAAAGATTAATTCTTTAATGATACACCTAGTGGTTCATAAACTTTGTAAAATCCTTTTGAAAATGAGGATCCCATGCATTCATTCATTATGCAGAAATAAATCTGAAGAGCCTTCAAAGAAAGATTGGGGGGGGGGGGGGGGGGGTCTGAAGAGCCTTCAAAGAAAGATTGTGGGGGGGGGGGGAGAGGAATCCATTAACTTTACATTCAATTTTCCACAAGCTTTCTGAAGCCCCCTCACATGTACTACTTTCAGCATACAATTTCTGGGGATTCAAGGATGCTCAGAAGCACATGGAAGGTAAAAGCTTCTGATACAAACTCTTAAAATTGCAAAGCTGAGCAGTGGCACATTAAGAATATTCAAGGTAGAAAATCCAATTAATAACGTAAAGAGAGTAATTAACTTTTGGGGTTTTATTGTTGTTGTTTTTCTTTTAATAGGTTTTGCAAATAACACCAGGGCATCATGTTTTCTAAGCAGCATTTTCTTTAGGAGCCTATTTTTTACATGAATCAATTTCAATTCAGAAAAAGTAGTAGAAGCCTCTATTTTTAGTAGCTTGAGGCAGAATGGTTCAAAGAATAACCTGCACTCCCGATGTTCAAACATGTAGGAAAAACCCTCAAAAGTTTAATGTAATAAATTTACTTAAATGTAAAAACATACCAAGGTAATTCCTATTCTAGTTTTATTCTTTTTAAAGCGGATTTAGATATATATCAGAACTATGCACTAATGACATACCTAGTTTTGGTAGGGGTATCGTTATTGATTTGGTTCCATTTTATGTTTTACTCATTTGATATATAGCCTGATGGTGGGAACTAATTGTTCTAAGCCTGTTACTAAATGCCAACCTAAAACTACGCTGTTATCTCAAAGGAAAAGGTTTCGTTTTTCTTTTTAATTGTTTGGTTTTCAGACCACATAACCACTTAGCACTAATCAAGTCATGCCGACTACTGAACAAAAATATAGTTTTTAAGCTACCGACGTCTGTGCAAAGATTCACCTATGTAGTACACATCCTTTCAATCCAGTTTCATCAGAATATTCTGTGAATGGACGAAAACAGGATCTCTGAGTTAAACGGTAAAAATCAACGAAGCGCTGCATCTCAGGTTGGCCAAATAGCTTTGGGCCAGAAAGGTCACATCTGCTTTTTTAAAACCCACAGTAGCTGTGAATGTTTGTGTGCCACCACATCCCTTGTACAGGAGGATAAAAGGGCAAACACGCACACACTCCAGCAGCATCCCTGGTCCTTGCATAAGCAAAATGCTTCCAGCAACGAGCGTGGGGGGGTGGGAGGGGGAAGAGTAGGACTCCGGAATAAACCAGGCGAGGCCCGCAGCTCCGGAGGCAGCGCCCGAGGGATGGAGGCCTCGCTCCACGAAGCTCGAGCACTGGGGGCTCTGGGAGGGAGGCCACGCCGGGTCTGGTGAGGCTGGTTGGGGGTGGGCAGGGGTCAGATCCCTATCTCTGAGGGTCGCAAGTTATGACCCCACTACATAGTAGGGGGCAAAGTCTAGACTTTCCTCCTCCAACCCCCCCCCAAAAAAAATACCCCGCACCGCTCCCCTCAGTCAGCCGCCGGTGACCCCGACCCCGACCAGACCGCTAGGGCGCCCTCTCCAGGCCGCAGCTGATGACACGGGCCCGGCCGCCTGCACCGGCGTCGGCGGCTCGGGAGTAGTGCGGCCCCAGTGGAGGACAGCAGCTGGGCCGCGGCCTGTCCCCAGGGACAGTGGGCTCTGGGCCCCGAGCGAGCAGTGCCTCCGCCCGGCATAAACAAAGCGAGCCCGGGCGTGCGGGGATCCGCAGCGCCGCCAGTCCGCGGCCGCGGGGGGCGGGGAGGCTAACCGGGGGGTACTCACCGGCTGGTGGCGCGGGCCGGCCTGGTCCCCGCGCCGGGGGTCTCTGGCGACGGGGACGGGACGGCGGGCGCGGGGGCCGCTGCGCGGGGCCGAGAGCCCCACTGCGGAGCCGGAGCTGCGGGGCAAGCTAGATTCTGCGGCGCGAGGTGCGAGAGCCTGTCCGCTGGGGCGAGCTGCACGCAGCGCTAGGCGGCCCGGGCAACGACGCCGCCGCCTTTCCCTTCTCCTGCCCCGGTCCCTGCTCCGCCGCGTCCTCCTCCTCGCTGGGTCGCCGCCGCCGCCGCCTCCACCTCAGCGTTTCTCGGGCTTCTCTTCTCCATCAAGGCCGGGCCGACCCGCTAAGACCATCCCGGGAAGTGAGAGGTTGTTGCCGTTTCCCGCAGCTGTCGGTGGCCATCTTTAATCCTCCTCCTCCTGCTTTCTCCACCTCCCGCAGGCTGGCTGACTGACTGACTCTGGATCCTCCTCTTTCTCCTCCTGCTCCTCCTACTGAGTCGGCCGCAGAAATTGCAACCACTCTTCCTCTTTTCCCTCTTGCCTTTCCTTCCTCTTTCCTTACTTCCTTCCCTCCGCTTCCCGCTTTCCTCGCACTTTGACTGGCTGGTTTCGCCTTCTTTTGCTGACAGCGGGCGCTGAATTCTTAAATTTAATCTTCCTTGCTACCCCTTCCTTTACAAACACGCACACACACACACTTCTTTTCCCTCCCCAGCACAGAGCTGCTCCTCTTTCCCTCTCGCCCACCCACTGCCCCCCACTCCCGCGATTCGCACTCTCCTCCGTTCCAATTTCTCAGAAGAGAAGACAGCTGGGTCCCCTTAACCCTACACTCATTTGCTGGATGCTGTCAAACAGCTATGGAAGAACTGGAGACTGAGTTAATTTCACAGTAGCTGTAGTACAAAAGAACTGCCCACGCTAGCTGTTTTACTACGCAGCTTTGAAACTCCCTGATGGTCCTGTGTGTGGCTCCGGTCCATTATTGAACCAAGGAGTGGCAGAGCCCAGGCTCAAATGTTGCCTTCTTTCTGTGACCTTGAGGCGACTGCCTAAGATATTATTCCCTTTTTTTCCTGTAAATCATTATTTTTACCTTTGCAGTCTGAACAAACCAAGTAAGAACACTTTGGTAAGCCTAGAACTCCTAATTGATCTTCAGTTTGTCTCCCTGTTGTTTGTTCCTAATCGACCCAATGAGCAATTTGGGCATGTTTCAAATCAGGCAAGGAGGCAAACGGAGTCAGCAAATTTCCTTATAACAGCTTAGAGTAGGGAAGTGGTAACAACATCTCCCAAAAGGAGAAACATGTTTTTCCAAACACTGTAATCTACAGAAGCTTCAGGATTTCCTCTAATAAAGATGAAGCAAGTTGGATTTGTAGTTGCCTTTTAGTTACTTTAAGGAGCCCTGGTGGCACAGTGATTAAGCGCTTAGTTGTCTACCAAAAGGTCAGTGGTTGAAACCCACCAGCCCATCAGCAGCTCCTCAGGAGAAAGATAATAGCAGCCTGCTGCAGTACAGTCTTGGGCAGTTCTACTCTGTCCTGAAGGTTGCTATCTGTCAGAATCTACTTGATAGTAATGGTGTTTTGGTTTTAGCCACTTGGCTAAATTGGACCTACTTGCAATGGTTTACTCCCATTGCCTGGTTCTCACAAGGTTCAACACTGCTGACAAACATGGGTGATATCTGTGTGCTCTTAGGGGGTTACAATTTCTGCTTGTTTGAACAGTGATTATGAAAGAAAAACACCTTCCATAAGTAGATGAAAGGGTAAACAACGTTTGGTGCATACATATAATGGAATACATACAACCAGTAACAAATGAAGTTTTGATACATGCTGCAATATGGATGGAATTTGAAGACTTTGTTGCTATTGTTATATGCCGTGGAGTCGGTTCCGACACATAGAGACCCTGTACAGGGTTTCCGAGGCTGTAAATCTTTACGGGAGCAGAAAGCCCCATCTGTGTCCCGCGGAACAGCTGGTAGTTTTGAACTGCTGACCCTAAGATTCGCAGCCCGATTCGTAACCCCTACAAGGTAGGGCACACAATATTTGCCCTGTTATTTCACTAGGTATAATGTCTTCTAAAGGAGCTCTGGTAGTGTAGTGGTTACAAATTGGGCTGCCGACCTCAGGGTCAGCAGTTGGAAACTACCAGCTGTTCCGCAGGAGAAAGATGGGGCTTTCTGCTCCCGTAAAGATTTACAGCCTCAGAAACCCTGTACAGGGTCGCTATGGGTCAGAATCGACACTACAGCACTTAACAACTACAACAATCATATTTAAAAAAAATACAAGAATAGGTGACTATAGAGACCAAAGTTACTTAGTGATTTTCAGGTGTAGAAGGAAGGGAAAAGGTAGATTATTGCCTATAGAGTACTATGGTTTAATTTATACAATGATGGAAAAATCGGGTTGCTAAGCCAATTAATATAATTGCCATTAATAAATTGTACACCTGTGAAAAGTTGAACTAGCAAAAGCTGTATGATAGATTTACAACAACAACAACAAAAAAGTAATTGGGGTTTGGAGGCTTAGAATCCTGGTTTCAGTTAACTGGGCTAAGAGTGTGTTTACTACTTCTGTTCTACCTCCTATTTTGTTATAAGACCATAAAATCTGAGGTCTTAAAAGCTTGTAAGTGGCCATCCAAGGGCCAACAATTGGTCTCATTTTCAACTAATGCAACAGAAGGAGAAGGTGAATCAGGAATGTTGTTACTAGATGCCACAGAGCCACTTCCAACTCATACCAACTCTATGTACAACAGAAGGAAACACTGCCCAGAGTGCTGTGCCATCCTCACAATGGGTTATATATGAGTCCATTATCCCAGCCACAGGGTCCACCCATCTAGTTGGGGTCTTCCTCTTTTTTCATTGATGTCTCTATCAAGCATGATCTTCTCCAGGGACTAGTTACTCCTGATAACATGTGCAAAGTACATAAAGTCTTGACATCCTCGCATCCAAGGAACTTTCTAGCTTTACATACTTTCTTCAAGATAGATGTTTATTCAACTGACTTTCCATGGTATGTTCAATATTCTCCAACACTAATTCTAATGCTTCAATACTTCTTTGGCCTTCCTTAATCCTTATATAGCTTTCACATACATATGAGGAAATTAAAAATACAATGACTTGGGTCACCTACACCATTGTCCTCCACATGGTATCTTTGCTTTTTAATAAAACATTTACCCAATGCAATACATTGCTTAATCTGTTGACTCCTGCATCCCTGGAATAAATTATGTATTCAAGCACAATTTTACTTGCATGCAATATTAATTATATGGTCTGATGATTTCCACATTCTGTTGGGTCACCTCTCTTTGGAATGGGCACAAATAGGGATCTCTTTCAATCAGTTGACCAGGAAGCTGTCTTCCAAATTTCTTGGCATAGATGAGTAAGTGCCTCCAGTGTTGCTTCAATTTGTTGAAAGGTTTCAATTTGTATTCCATTAAGTCCCAGAATCTTGTTCTTTGCCAATGTCTTCACTGCACCTTGGACTTCTTCCTTCAGTACCATTGGCTCTTGACCATATGCTACTTCTTGAAATGGGTGAACATTGACCATTTCTTCTTGGTACAGTGACTTTATGGATTTTTGGTTGTTGTTTTTTTTAATCTTCTTTTGATGCTTTATGCATCATTCAATATTTTGCCCAAAGAATCCTTCAGTATTGCAAGTCAAGGATTGAATTGTTTCCTCAGTTCTTTCAGCTTGTAAAATGCTGACTGTGTTCTTTCTTCTTGGTTTTCTAACTCCAGGTCACTGCACATTTCATTATAATATTTGACTTTGTCTTTTTGAGCAGTTCTTTGAAATTCTCTGTTCTGATAGCATAGTGGTTACGAATCAGGCTGCTAATCTCATGGTAAGCAGTTCAAAACTACCAGCTGTTCCGCAGGAGAAAGATGAGGCTTTCTGCTCCGGTAAAGATTTACAGCCTCAGAAACCCTATATAGGGTCGCTATGAGTCGGAACCAATTCCACAGCACATAACAACAACAACAATTCATCTGTTTTACCTCCTGATTCTATTTGCTTTAGCATTTCTACATTGGACAGCAAGTTTCAGAGTCTCTTCTGCCATCCATTTTACTTTTATCTTTATACCTTGTCTTCTTAATGACCTTTTGCTTTAAAATGATGTTATTGAGGTCATCCCACAACATTTCTCATTTTCGATCCTAATTGTCTAGTGCATCAAGTCTGTTCTTGAGATTCTCTCTAAATTCAGATGGGATATGTTCTAGGTCATTTTTTGGCTCTTATGGACTTATTTTCATTTTCTTTAGCTTCAGCCTGAACATATTGTTGTTAGGTGCCATCGAGACGGGACCAACTCATAGTGCATAGTAGAATGAGACACTGCCCAGTCATGGGCCAACCTCACAATTGTTGCTACGCTCAAACCCATTGATGCTGCCACTTTACCAATCCATCTCACTGGGGTCTTTCCCTTTTTCACTCTGACCCTGCACCTTACCAAACATGATATCCTTCTCTAGTGACTGGTCCCTCCTCACAATATGCCCAAAGTATGAGAGATGAAGTCTGGCCATCCTGGCTTTCAAGCAGCACTCCACCTGTACTTCATCCAACACAGATATATTTATTCTTTTGGCAGTCTATGGTACTTACAATATTCTCCTCTAACACCATAACTGAAATG